CATTGAAGCTTCACTTAAGACTAGGCCATATGAGCAATAAAGGTCTTCAAATGTTAAGCTAGAGAGATTTACTATGTGATCAATACTCTGGTGCTTTGAAATTCTACGAGCAGTGTTTTAGGAAAGCAAAAAGGGCTCTCATTCATTAATACGGTCAACAAAACCAAAGGTATTCTTGATTATATCAGCTCTAAACTTTGGGGGATCATCAAGAGAGCCATCTAGTGGCAGTGTAAGATACATGTTAACCTTTATTGATGATTATTCAAGAAAGCTTTGTCCATTCTTTATCAAAGAAAAATATAATGTATTTGGACTCTTCAAGCTATAAAAGACCATGATTAAAAAGCTAGGCAATAATTTTAATGTCTTCAAATATATAATGGATTATAGTTTTGCTCACATCAATTTGAGGCTTTTTATCATTCAGCGGCATCACTCGCCACCGCACATATGCTATGAAGACACAACAAAATGAAGTTGATAGGTACAATCGTACAATTCTAGAAAGAACTCACTGTATGCTTTTTTTCAGTCACTTTTGATAAAAGTTTTTGGGTTAAAGCTTCCTCTATTGCATGTTGCCTAGTCAACTGATCTATTCATGCCGCTATTGATTTGAAGCATCCACAAGAGGCTTGGTCCAGTAGCCTCCTAATTATTATGACTTAATTTTTTTTGTTGTATTGTTTTTGCCTAGATCAATGATGGAAAAGTTAGATCCCAGATAAAAAAAGTGTATATTATTGGGATATGGCATATAAAATAGTGTAAATGGTTGCAAATTGTGAAGTTTTAAAGATTTCAGATCCCTCATAAGGAGAGATTTTATCTTTGATGAAAAGTTTTTGATATATCCAGTGATATCATTGATAAAAGGTAAATTTTTGTGATTTTGCTATATTAAATACCATATTATCTCCCTTAATTATGATGATATTATGCTTGAAAAAGAAATTTTTTTCGTGTTGCATATGTTATAAAGGATTTACACCACTTGGTGAAGGAAAATGAGCAAATTGGGAGCAAAAAAAGATGATGAATCGGCACACCCGCAACTGATATGGTATGCACCCGCACCGACCTTGTGACACACCCACACTATCTTAATGGCGCATCTGCTCCGGGAATGACATATCCACGCTGCCTTTCCTGCACACTTGCGCTACAAGATTACCAGAACTCGATTTGTCAAGTTTTTTGATGTTGATTTCGGCTAAAGCTATAAGAGGGAAGTTAAGGCACAACGTAAACATCTTCTGGCTGAGTTTGGAGGCTTTGCACTGCAGCTTTTAGGGCTCTAGTTCAAAAAATATGTGTTTTCTTTTTCTTTCTTTGGAGAGAAGCTTCTTAGGGTTGGTTTCTTATGAGTTTGAGAGGGAAGGTGAGTGACCTTATATAAGAGGAGATTTGTGAGAGTTTGTATTTAATAGAGAGACGTAGCCCATTTTGCCAAGGACTAAATAGCTCTAGGTGAGTGTTCTGGACCTCTTGCACTGTGATCTTTATTATTATGCTTGGTTTTTGCTTTTTTTTTTCATGCATTGTGGTTGAAGTTGTTTTGTGCTCTTGTGATATCAGGCATGTGGTTTTCTCGTTGTTTTATTCTGTGTATTTTTAATCCTTTGACGTTTTTTCTTTGCATGGATCTGAACTAAATTTACTTCAATTCAAACACGATAAAATATTAAAATCCTTGTGATCTAGGGCTTCTGTCCGATGCATAGAAGAACGAATAAGTTAACCACAAAAACCTAGTGAAATGGACATATTATCTTTAGTGTTTTGCATCTAAATAGAGGATTATAAGAGACTTGTGAAATTCTACATTGTTAAATGTCCCTTAATTATGTAATGGTTTCAACTCTTCTTATGATGTAGGCATAAACTGAGAAAAAAATTTTATCCCTTGTTGTCTGCAATAGCATGGGTTCCGTAGGAAAACATTGAGAAAGCACTTGGCTTATGTCATAGGAGTATAAACCGTTCATATCTGAAAAACCTCACAAAACTTAGTTTGTTTCCTTCTTTCTGTTTTAGGATTAGATTTCTTTTACCTGTAATTGGATATTCAAACTAGCCTGTTAGGAATATTTTGACACTTTCCTCGTGGGATTGATGCGTGAACTTATTTTTATTTATTAATTCATTGACACGTATACTTGCATGCTTGACCACTTCACAATAATTTTTTCCGCCATCAATCACCACCATCCAACCCTGATTTGGATGAGTCAGTTACATCAAGTGGAACACACTATTTCCTTAACATCATCTTAGCAGACTATTGTTGATGAAAAGATTTCTACTATTGCGCCGTCTTATTCTTTGACCAGGGATAATCAGGGAAGAGTGATTTCCCCACCTAAGCGATATAGACATATAGTGAGGCAGATCTGGTTTCATGCATTGGCTGCTACAAAAGAGACTCTTGTCAAGTCATGCTCATATGCAGATGCAGTCTCGAGCTTGGACACTGCGAAGTGGCACATAAATATGGAAGACGAAATGGAATCATTGCATAAAAATCAAACATAGAACTCATATAACTTCCAAAAGGAAAGAAGACAACTCAATTAAAGTGGATATACTTGAAAAAGAATGATGCCTTATAGGATGAAGAACGAAGATATAAAGCTTGATTATTTCAGTTAGATTCCAGGTGCTGACTTCATCAACTTCTTTTCTCTAGTTATGAAGCTCACATCTATTTTTGTGTTGCCCAAAATTGTTATTGTTTATGATTTGGAGCTTAATGTCACGGACAAATAGTCCCACATTGGCTAGGTGTAGGGCCGAAAAGCAGTATTTAAGTCCTGGGCTGCCCACCACCCATAAGGGCTCTTTTGGGAGGTGACAAGTGGTATCAGAGCAGATTACTGCCTGCCAAGTGTGTGGACTCTCCATGGTCCAGTGGGACCCTCGGTGGAGCCGATCCGTGACGAGGGCGTCACGTGATTGGGTGGAGGAGAATGTCACGGACAAATAGTCCCACATTGGCTAGGTGTAGGGCCGAAAAGCAGTATTTAAGTCCTGGGCTGCCCACCACCCATAAGGGCTCTTTTGGGAGGTGACATTAAGCAGTTAAATATGAAGACTGTCTTTATGCATTGCGAGCTGGAAGAAGATATCAACTTGATCCAACCTAAGAGTTTTGTTGTGAATTAAAATAAGGATTATGTTTGCAAATTAAAAAAGTCTTTGTATTGAGCTAAAATAGTCCCTGGATCAATGATATCAGACGTTTGATGTGTTCATCATTAGTATTGATTTTTCTAGAACCAACTTTGACAATTGTGTACTTGAAGTTGTTAGATACATCATTTGGGTACATCTTACTCTATGTAGATGATATGTTGATTGCTGCTAAAAAGAAATATGAAATTCAAAAGTTGAAAGATCATCTTTGTTCTGAATTTGATGTTAACAACTTGGGTGTAACAAGAAAGATACTTGGGATTGAGATTTGTCCGTCAAGATCAGAAGGACTTCCACATCCTTCTCAAATAGCCTATGTTCAAAGGGTAATGTATAGGTTCAAAATGAAGGATGCGAAGCCTATCCCCACAGCAGAGATAACTTGAACTACAAATATTGATAAGGAATATGTGGAGCGTGTTCCATATGCTAGTGTCATTGAAAGCTTTGTGTATGCCATGATATGCACTCGTCCAGACTTAGCTCTTCCTAAAACTGAAGAGAGTAAATATTGAGAATTCATCATTGCCCTTAACATCTCCAGGGTAGGTTGCATGCCGAGTCCAAAAACAGTTTTTAAGATGAAGAGAGTAAATATTCTAATCTATAAAATCATCCCCTTTCAAAAAATTTGCTATGAGCTGAATAAAAACGTAATCCAAAAATAAAGTGTAAAGCAAACACCCAATTGCAGTATATGCCAAACCGAATTGTGATTAAGAAGGCAGAAGGGGAAAGAGGTTGAGGAAGACTGTAGGTTGTACATGAGAAGAGCTTATCCAGTACAGAAAACCTCAGAAATACTAATTAACAATGACATCCCAATCCTGTATGTTTCTCCATTTTCTAACTTTTCCTCTAACTTACCTTTTAATGCCACAAAGAACTGAAGAAAATCTGTTAGTACGCCCGCTAAATCGTCTATCATTTATTTCCTTCTAAATAAATGAAACAGTGCAATGGATGGAGAGATGATAGAAATTTTTCCTAGCTTTAGAGATAGTTCCTGTAGCAGAAAGATGCTCCAAAATTTGAAGTAATTACGACTTAGTAAAAAGATAGTGTTTAAGGTAACCATCCTTTTAGAATAGCATTTGAAAAAGAACAAGTAAAGAAAGGATAGTTTACTGACTTAGTCTCAGCATGACAGAAAAGGCAGAGGGGAGAAGTTGTAATATTTCCGGCAGTGAGGAGATCTGCAGTTTTTAATGCATTGTGAACTGCTAACCAAGAGTAGAGGGAATACCTAATAGCGTACTTTTATGCCAAATAAGAGATTCTCAGTTAACTGTTGGAGAATTACCTTGAAGGGATTCACAAATCATTTTAAATGAGGGATTATCCAGCTTCCTCAACAGCAGACCATCTAAAGAGTTATGAATAGAAATGTCATTGATGCTAGGGATAACCATTGAGATTTCAGCTAAATCTTTATGCCTCCAACCATTACCCTTTTTGTTTTATGCGGCGGATTACTAAAATTCTTCATTTGTATGGTATGTTGGGTTATTTAAAGTGATCTCGAGCCGAGCCAAGTCTATTTGAGGTTTGGCTCAATCTGCAATCATAGCTAATTAACTCCAATTTGAGTTTGATTGGAGCCAAAATTTAATCCAAGTAGATTAACTTTTTTTTTCCATGAAAATTTTTTAGTTCAGCATATACAAACATGCACATATTATTTATATTTTGTGACAATCACAAGATAGCTCTATTCATTCATTTTCTTATTGCACTTTCAATAAAAACATCTCAATTTCTCTTTTCATTCCCGCTTTTTATATTTTATTTCATTCCTTCAGGAACTAACTCGAAGGATAGCAGCAAGTTTGGAAGTGGATTATACAGCAGCAGCGGCCGGACTTCTTCATCTTCTGTGCCTCCCACTCCTCGTAGTGAAGGAGAGATTTTGCAGTCAACAAGTGTGAAGAGTTTCACCTTCAATGAGCTCAAATGTGCGACGAGAAATTTCCGCCCCGACAGTGTGTTGGGAGAGGGAGGTTTCGGTTCTGTTTTTAAGGGTTGGATTGATGAGCACACACTTTTGGCGATGAAACCAGGGTTGGGAATGAGTATTGCTGTGAAAAGGCTCAACCAGAGTGGTTTTCAGGGTCATAGGGAATGGTTGGTGAGTATAATGTAATTATTGATGTTTTTTGCAGATTATAATGTGCTATTAACTTATTAATATGTCAAGGCAATAGATATCAGGACTTAGATTTCTTCAATTTGAATCAATTTGTTTTTCAAAATTTGTAGGCAGAAGTTAATTATTTGGGCCAGCTACATCACCCGAACCTTGTAAAGCTGATTGGATATTGTTTAGAGGACGAGCATCGCTTGCTTGTCTATGAATTCATGCCTCGAGGGAGCCTTGAAAACCATCTATTTAGAAGTAAGCTTATTATATTCTGCATATTTGTTTTGTGAGATTACATATCCTAATGTAATTTTTAGTTTTCATCAATTATATGTGATGAGAAGAGGTTGTATTCCATATGTGGCGTTAGTTTGTCTCTCCAATTAGTATATTGAAAGATTCTGATGGTATGAAGGTGGTGGAAGTTAGAATTTAGAAGTTAGAAAATTAATTTAGTTTTTAGTGTGTCTGATTTGGCTGTTGTAGATAATGAAATTAGTCCCGCTAGGTACTGCTGTGTTAGATTTCAGGGATTTCATGTTTACTGCCAAGACATATTTGTAATAATTTATGAATTGCAATAGCTCAATATTTTATTTTGTTTGATGCTTATCAAACACTATTTATCAGAGTTGTATTTGTTCAATTTCGGCAGATTTGATTCAGATATACAAGTTTATACTTCTCAGAATCATAGCATCAAGCAAAGATTTGAGTGCAAATTATTTGCTGATTTATTTTATTTTGGTTGTTATTTTTACAATTTAAAATATTTCAGTGATGATGACCCTGCGAGAAGAGTCTTCTTCTATGACCTATGGATAACCAAAAATAAATTGTTCATAACGATTTGTGAAGAATATGTTTTAACTGATTGATCAACATTTGGTGGGAACGAATGGAAAATGATGATTTATAAGGTTGACTTTTAATAGTTCGGATAAAACTGACAGTGATGTTGATGATATTGTGATGTGGAGGAAGAGAGGTTTATTGTAGCATTAGTCTGTGTATCAAATTTGGAAATTGTAAGGGCTTTTTTCGGATTCCTTTTATTTTTACTTTTATTTTAAAAGCTTGTTTGTTTAGTGTATTTTTGGATGTTTTTATTTTTTATTAAAAATAAATTAACTTATTTTAAAAATTTTCAAAACATCTAAAAATTATTTTTAGTATTCTTAAAAATAGCTAAACAGGTTATAATATATCAAAAATATTTTGCTTCATGTAAAAACATTAACAAAACAAAATAAGAAAAAATAAAAATAAAATCAAAAGTGATCCCAAATGGCCCTAAGATTTTATCAGTGCTCCAAAATGATTCACATGACCAAGTTAATATATACACCAATTTTCGTGCAGGAGGTTCATATTTTCAACCATTTTCATGGAGCCTGCGCACGAAGGTTGCACTTGGGGCGGCTAGAGGACTGGCTTTTCTGCACGGGACTGATACAAAAGTCATTTATCGTGATTTTAAAACTTCTAATGTTCTTCTGGATGCAGTATGTAAATTTCTGACTGGAATAATATGCATTCTCCCATTATTTGTTTGTGCGTACACCAACTATTTTATTCTAATTACAAAATGCTCTTCTATATCTATTTACAGAACTACTGTGCAAAACTTTCCGACTTCGGATTAGCAAAAGATGGACCTACTGGTGACAAGAGTCATGTCTCTACTAGGGTCATGGGAACATATGGTTATGCAGCTCCTGAATATCTTTCTACTGGTAAGTTTTGTACCAGTTTTCCTTTTTCCTTTTTCCTTTTTTGGAAGATTTGCATACATACCACTCAATTACTATGTATTTATGTATCTAAAACCTAAACTTCAATTTTTACACACATGCCACCTTACATATGAGTGAAAAGGAGTGTTTCACTTTTCAAGCGTTAAATTAATGATATTTTGGATGTGATATGAAAGATTTGGGTGGTATAAATGTAAAATATAAAATTTTAATTTTAGATATCTGAATACAGGATGGTACGTATGTTAATGGCCTATTTTCCTTTGTTTTTTTGGTGCTATCTTTTCATTCTTGTTGCACCTTAATGTTATTAATTTGCAACAACCTTCTATTTTGCTGCTCACTTAGTTGAGTGGTTGGGTTTTTTGTCTCTAATTATGAAGTCCTCTGAGTTCAAAATTTAGTGCGCATGAGTTGAAGGAAAAAAATTGCAGCCACGCTGTGATGCTACTTCACCAGTACTCGCCATCCAATCATGTATTTACAATATGTTAACACCACCTTACATATGCATGAGAAAGGAGTATATCACTTTTTAAAAGTTAAATTAATGATATTTTTGATGTGATATGAAAGATTTGGGTGGTATAAATGTAAAATGTAAAATTTAGTTAGACATGTGAATACAGGAATTGGGTGGTAGATATGTTGATGGCTTTTTTTCTTTGTTTTTCGGCTGTCTGTCGTCGCATTCTTGTTACACCTGAAAGTTAATAATTTGCAGCAACCTTCTATTTTGCTGCTCATTTAGTTTAGTGGTTTATTTTGTCTCCAATCTTAAAGCTTCGAGTTCAAAATATAGCTTGCGTGACTTGAAGGAAAAAAATTGCAGCCACTATGTGATTATAATTCACCAGTACTCGCCATCCAATCACGTATTTAAATGTGTCAAAGTGTGCAATTTATTGAACAAAATTTCTAAATTCTTCTATAACATTCTCCTTGGATTCTCGGGGTAGGTAAATGAACGTCTTTTAAATAGACCAAGTCGTTGATACCTAAAATTCTGATTTTCTCCTATTGTGTACCTTTTATCATTTATAACATATAGTACTAAACTGCTCTGAAACAAGAAGCCAACTGATGTGTGTCTATAAAAAATATTGCGACTCGTCAGCATCCGGGCCGGGGCGACTAAAAGATTTTGTTTAATTAGCCTTTAGCGACTCCAATTGAACATTAATCGTACCTCTTGAAGCAATATCAGTTCAAGGCTATCTGCCTTTCTTATCTTCTGCAGAGTTTCCCCATTGGCCACTTCATACTTCGTTAGTAGTTGATATTGCAAGAATAAAAAATGGCAAACCGGAGAGCACAATCTGGTCGATTTACGTATAGGACACCTTAAATATGCATGAGAAAGGTGTATTTCACTTCGAAAGGTTAAAATAGTGATATTTTTATTGTGATATGAAATATTTGGATGGTATAAATGTAAAATAGTACACTTTACCTGTTGAATACTTTAAAGACATGATAGTTGGATGGTATGTTTGTAAATGCCTCTCATCACTGGATGTTTCACTCTGGCAGGTCACTTGACTGAAAAAAGTGACGTTTATAGTTTCGGCGTGGTACTCCTCGAGTTGTTATCCGGCCAGCGTGCCGTGGACAAGAACCGCCCAACCGGAGAGCACAATCTGGTCGATTGGGCGAGGCCTTACCTCACCAATAGGCGCAAGCTTTTCTGCATCTTGGACAGAAGGCTCGAAGGGCAGTATTCGCTCGACGGAGCTCAGAAAGTTGCCTCGCTCGCCTTACAGTGCCTGTCCTCCGAAGGGAGGTTGAGGCCGAGCATGGAGGATGTGGTGGCTGTTCTGGAGCAGCTTCAGAAGCCGAATGATACAGAGAAGAAATCACAAGAGGAGCAGAAGATCAGCGCTCAGAGCTTTGGGAGTGGATCTCAGAAGCCTAGTGTGAGGAGTTTGGAAGAGAGTGGCAGCGGGAGGGCGGCGTACCCACGGCCAATGGCTTCCTCTCTGTACGAGTAGGAAGCTTTTATTTGTTGTGATTGTTGACATAAGAGATTGGTTTTGTTTACTTCTATTGTTGAACTGTTTGATTGTATATAGATTGTTTTTTCTATTCGCTTTTGAAGGTTCGGTGATCTCAGGATATTAAGGTTGAGGAATATACTAGCAATATCAGTTTGTGCTAATCATTCTGTTTCTTTATTAGTTGGGGCAAAGCTAAAGAAAGACGAATTGGAACTTCAGATGTTATATATATATATATATATATATATATATATATACTAGTCTATTATATATATATATATATATACATACATACCACTCAATTCTTATGTATTTGCATATCTAACTTCTGAACTACAATTTTTACATATATGCTTTCTTATATATGCATCAAAATGGTGTATTTCATTTTAGAGAACATAAAATACTGGTAATTATTATGTGATATGAAAGAATTAGGTGGTATAAATGTAAAAAGCAAAATTTGAGTGTTACATTTGCATGTGTGTGTTGAATAATTTATCACTTCTTTTTTCATAAATTTTACTATTTATAGGGGAAATGTATGACATGATATTATATTTTTGCCCTTGTTTTAATGGAGTCCGTATTATGGTATTTATGATATTTTAGATGTATGAATTTATCGACCGCCTGCTCTATGTGGCGGCATACTAAGCTAAATTGGTTTTGGGTCGGCAAGATTAGCTTAGTTAACTGAGATATGTTCAGTTACATAGAATCAGCTCGGTCTGTTGAGTTTTGTTGATATTGGTGTGCCAATTGCTTTGACACATCTATCAATTGTTAATTTTTGATGAAGGGCCTGAGGATGTTTATGTGATGGTTGAAGATGTTAGGGAACTAAATCTTTCTTAGGCATGCTCTTTCATAGTGGTTGGCTCAGGTGTTTTTTTTCTCGTTTCTGACTAGATGTTTAAGACTCGAATCATTTGGTTGCCTTTTTTTCCTCCTCGTGGCTTAGTTGGTTTTGGCTCAGACTGCTTCACTCGATTGGAAAAGTGGGCCTCAATATATTCCCCTCGTCGTACTATTTGTATTTGGACGGTTAGATCTCCTCTGGATCATGATAGACACATTTTTTATTTACATATTTTAGTTTTCTTATTCTCTTCCTGAAAATGACGTTGCAATAATAATATGATATTTTAATGCAAAAAGGGTTTATCACATCTATTATTAATCTAAGATTCAATAATAGAACTCTGATTTTTGCACATTTGATTCTTATTAATATGGCTTGGTAAGACTCTTCTCATTCTTTATTTGCTCTGTGACCCCTCTGGTTTGAATCTGTTAACTTTCGAGTGTTATGATGGAGAGCGTATCAAATCCCTCGGATGATATCCCCGTTAAAGATCTACTTCGTGTTGCCGTTGGGAGGCCAAATGAACGTTATTGCCTGAAAGGTGAATGTAAGATGAAAGTTGTTGTTAAGAAGAGAAAAGTGGTTGAGCTAGCGAATCAGGTGGGGCCATCTGATTTGTTCCTCAATACTAAGCAGAGGAACATTCAGACTACCAGGCCGGTCATAATCTGTTGGCTCACTGCGACATAAGACTCATCGGTTGAATGAGCCGCGCAAGATGTTGTTGGTGCTCTACTACTGCACAATGAGAGTGTTGTGTTGATTACATCGTATGAGTTGGATCGACTCCTTGGTATGAGGAGCCTTAGTCTTTCTTGTTAGATTTCAATTTTTTTTTAATTCTTTTTTTTACATTCTCTCTTGGTGGATAAGACCCGATCTCGATAACCTGACGCGCCAAAACTTACCATGAAGTAAATATGTCGCACAACGCAAGTACATGTGTCAAGTAATATGCGGTTTAAGAGTTCGCGTATCAATCCCACAAGGAAAGGTTTAATAATTATTCCTACATAAAATCTCTATGTTGCTAATCTTGTGATCTTAGCTTGGCGTGTGACATGTCTTAATTTTGTGATTTCAATTGTTTTGTTTCATGCATTTTACATACTACTTTACCTCATTTATTATATTTTTTTGCTTATGGAAGATTCATTATGTTATTTTCTAGGTTATAGGAGTTAAATACATAAAATAGAGTCAAAACACTAAAAATAATGCTATTTTGCATGACCGCGCCTGATTTGGGCATAACCATGCCAAATCTTGGCGTGACCACGCCGGGGTCTGGTGTGACCAAACCGACGGACCACTAGATCTCATTTTCATGTCGATTCTTGTTGATCGTTAAAAGGGAAGCTAGGGCACGAATTGAATCATTCTTGGGTGAAGAGGACAGTTTGAGACTGCTGGAAGTTTTTGAGAGTTTTCCTTAGGTTTCCTTTTCCACACTTGGGGTTGGGGTCCTAAGGTTTCTTCTACCTTTTCTTTGTATTGTTCTTATATGTTTTGAGAGGTTATTGTACAAATCATTTTGTAAGTGTTTACTTTTCAGTTTTACTTATAACAATAATTTTGTTGGGATGCTTTTCCAGTATTCTTTTTGTCATGTGTAGCTGCACTTTTCTTTATACTTTTTTGATTTATGAAATGTGATTTTGTGGTTTTCTCAGATGATTTCTTTCTTTTTATCATTTTCTTGAAACTCCACGGTTTTTTCATTTTTGTGTTAACCATAGAGTTTCATTTAGTCTTGATCTAATCAATTCAGATTTTAATATATTTCGTGATCTGTGACTCCTAGCCATTGCACAGAGGAACAAAATGGTTAACCACAAAATTTAGATAACAATAGAGACATATTTTATTCTGATTCTGCAACCCAGAAAGTGGATCAAAACAAATCCGCAAAATGTCATAGAAATTAAGGAAGCCTTACCTTCATTGATTCTAACCTTCTTTTGACATAGACATAGGCATAAGGAAGACTTTCTATCCATTTTGACACCAATCACATTGAGAAAAGTCCAGGAAAATCACGAATCACCATATTAGCTAAATCACAGAAGTGCGAGCTTCAAATACCTTGAAGACGTACAATTTATTTGTTGCAGTTTTTCATATTCTCCAAACACGTTATGTTTTGTTATTTCTTTTAAGTAGGATTTTAGAAAACAATCTTTTGTTTGTGATCACGTTAAACTAGGTTTTGAAGTTTAGTATACTAGAAATTCACTCATCCAAGTCGTTCTTAGGCCCTTCCTTATGGGATCAATACACGATACTCTTTAACTGTATTGCTATTTGACACATGCACTTGTGTTGTACGGCAGACTTACGCTGGTAAGTTTTGGCACCGTTGTTGGGGAAAGGCGTTAATAAGTATTCTAATTTTAGGAGAACTTTACTTTACTGTGGAGAATCTAGGTTTAACAACTTTATTTTACTTTATTATTTTTCTCATATTTGTTTGCACTTGTATTGTTGTTGTGTTTTATTGCAGGTGCTGAAAAAAATTAAAAGTTGCAAAATAAAAAATATGAAAAAGCCAAAAAAATGCAAAAGAAAAATTATGATGTTAAGTTATTTTTATTTCTTTCACTTTTTCATTTGCATATTGAGTGTTGCATTTGCATGTGAGCTTGTTGACTGACTTGTGTGTGTCAGTATATTTATGTGTTGCATAATTTTAAATTGTTATTTTATGCACAAGGGAACTAAGGCTTGTTGACCTCGACCCTTTTAGCCTTGATATTGATCGCACTTTTAGATGTCTTAGGAGATCACAATTGTTTCTTGAAACACTTGTTGGGTGGCTGACCCTAACACACCCATCATGTAACCACTTAGGGAATGCATGAACCCTTCTGTTGAATGAACTCACATGAGCATTAATTATCCACCTGTCGAAGCCAACACTTTTGAATTGAAAATTGTCATAATCCTTATGCAAAACAACCAGTTTAGGGGACTTTCATTTGAAGTCCCATACCTGCATTTAGCAAATTTTCTTGAACTTTGTCACCTTATGGTGCAAAGGTGTCACAAACGATGCTGTTAAATTGAGGCTTTTCCCCTTTTCCTTAAGGAAGAAGGCTAAGGTATAACTTAATTCCCTTGTCACAAGATCAATCCTGACATGGAATCACTTAAAACAGAAGTTTCTTCCCAAATATTTTCTCCATCTAAAACTATAATGCTTAGGAATGATATCATTTTATTCATAGAAATAGATTGAGAGTCCATTTTTGAAGCTTGGGAAAGATTCAAGGAATTACTTAGGAAGTTCCTGCTTCACGCCCTACCTGATTGGAAGATAATTCAAACATGTTGCAATGTATTGATAGGAACCCCGAGGTCGGTCATAGATGCTACTGACTTGACGTGCAATTGCACAGTAATTTAGCTTTCAAAAGATGACCAAAAACTTGACCCAATTTATATTTAGCATTATTTAAATTTAGAAAATGGTTTACACACTAGGGATACTATGTAAGAATGCATATGGTTTCAAGTAATATTGGGTTTTCCTTAAAGAACCCAATATCGATCCCACAGAGAAGCGAGGTAAGAATTCCCTTAGGCTAATTCTAGTATATTATTATTAGGTCTTAGTTTGGAATTTTTGAAAACTTTGGTTTTCCTAAATTTACTAATTTATGCTAAAATTATAATTACCAAAATTAAATAAAAATCAACTCTAAGGAGACTTATTAAATTTTGGAAAGATATTAAATAAATAAAATATATTTCTGCTTGCGATGAGATCATAATTAGTGTAGGAATAGAATGTTTAAAAATCAAATATGGTGTTGTGACAAATAGGAACAAACCTATTCTTTATTCTTTTTATGAGCGACAAAAAACATTGGCTAACTGAAAGTTTAGTCCCTAAATCCACGGTTAGACTTGGAAGATACTAAGCTCTCACCTTAGAGTTCCCATGTTTCCCTCGCCCGAGGCTAATGTCTCGCTTTAATTTCCAAACACTTGGTCCAAAGTGAGGATTTTAGTCTGCCACCATAAAATCATCAATTCTGCACCCATCAAATTTTATTTCTCTATTTATTTATACTCAATTCCCTGAGCTACATTCTCATCCATGAATTCAAATGTGGTTCTACTTTGTTGAAAATTACACCACCCTTTCGGATCTTAATGTAATTACAACAAATTTTAACGCTACAACAGGCCTAAATTGCAATGTGAATGAAGTTAAAGTGAATACCATCACAAATTTTAAAATAAAAGAAAACATCAAACCTTTTCAATCCTACACATAGCTAATTCTCATCACAAGGATAAAGTGTAAGGAAAATCTACTCACTAAGCATGGAGAAAACACATGGATTCTTCATTACAAAG